CGGTCTGGCCGGAGCTGGGCTCAATGGCGGGTGTAAAAGTAGCATCGGCCCGGAGGCCTCATGAGTTTGTGAGACCAAGAAGTGTTAAGGGAGAGGTCGTGCCTATCCCGAAAGCTTGCAGCAGACCAACTTCCCCTAATCCTTCCCGTCTCCGCTAGACTTTCCTGAATAAGATTTGGTCTATATTTTTAATCACGCATATGTATATATTCGTACATATATTTATTATTTGTTTATCCTTTAATATAATTATGTATATATATATACGCATTTATGCGTTTCTCTATATTTATATATATATTATATTCACAAATATATATATATATATATGCGGTACATATTGTTGTGTTGTACACATATATGTGTATTATGTATGTAGTACACATGTCTCCATGTACCACTTTACTATTATTTACTATTATTATTAATGAGTATTATTTATTAATATTATATTCGGATATGCGTGTAAAATTGATTACTCACCTGCGACTCGTATTCTTCTTTCTCCTCCAAAATTACCGATTCGCTTCAGAAAACTCTTCAAATCGGTCACTCTGCTCGCTCGATTTCGCGGCGAACATCTGTTCCAGAGACGAGCTCGAAGGTGCGCATCTGATTGGGCCCAATAATTGGGTCGTCGGGAGGTTGTCGGCGACAAAGGTCGAGGTTAAATAGGACTCGGCGTTTGTATCGAGTTCGGCATTTGAGTTTGCTCAACGTCCAGGTCTGTGGGCGGCTCTGCGGTTCGGCATCCACGAAGTTAGCGGCGCGGCTATGGTGCTGGCCCGGCGTTTTTTGTTCGTGCTGTGGTGCCGACATGAAGTTCGAGGTCAGCGTCGGAAAATTTTGGGCCTGTTGCAGTCGATATGGGAGTTCGGCCCCGATGGCGGTGGTGGGCCGGTTTGCCGCTGTGTTTTCGATGTGCCGACGGCTGGTCGGCACTTGACGATGTTGAGGTCGGATCTCGGCTGAGGTTAGGGCATGACTAGTTCGAGTCAGATCCCAACTGAAGTTCGAGGTGGTGTGGGCCGGTCGGCACTTGACGATGTCGAGGTCGGCACCTCGAAGATGAGGAGGTCGAGGTCGGGTTGACTGAAGTCGGAAATGTCGGGGTACCGGCAAGGCGAGGTCGGCATCGGCGATTGTGAGGCGGTTCTCGCGGGGTCGGGTCCCGGTGCTAAGCGGAGGTCTCGGTTGTGAGTTCGGCACCGGTGGAGGTCGGCTCTCGCGAGGTCGGGTCCCGGTGGCTAAGTGGAGGTCTCGGCTGTGAGGTCGGCACCGGTGGAGGTCGGCTCTCGCGAGGTCGGGTCCCGGTGCTAAGCGGAGGTCTCGGCTGTGAGGTCGGCACCGGTGGAGGTCAGCTCTCGCGAGGTCGGGTCCCGGCGGCTAAGTGGAGGTCTCGGCTGTGAGGTCGGCACCGGTGGAGGTCGGCTCTCGCGAGGTCGGGTCCCGGTGGCTAAGTGGAGGTCTCGGCTGTGAGGTCGGCACCGGCTGTGTTTATTTGAGGTCGGTGCCGGTGGATGTGAGGTCGGCTCGGTCCTGAATGTTTTGGAGTCCGAGCTCGGCGTTTGACCCTGGTGGTGGATTCGGGTCAGCCCGGAGTTCGCGTTGCGGTTCATCGTGTGTCGTGGAGTCGTGCGAGCTCGGCACTTGCTCCTGTGGTCCGAGACAGGAGACGGCGAGGTGGCCAGTCGTGGTAGCGAGGTTGACTTGCGAGGTCGGCCCGACGGTGTGGTGTGGTCGGCCCGGAACTTGGCTCTGAGGTTGAAGATTGGAGATGATGGGCTTGCAGGCTGCAGCTGTGATATCGGCACGTCCCCCTTTTTCTTTATTTTTTTTATTTATTTATTTTTCTTATCATCATTATCTATTTGACATGATGTGATGGCTGTCAGTGTAACAGTAACATGAACGTGGCTATGTCAAGTGGGATGAATTTATTATAGTTTTTATTGAAAAAAAAAAGGATAGAAAAGAAAAGGAAAAATTAAACAAAAAGGATTGTTGCCTCCGCGTGAATAATAAGCAAGAAGCTAACGAAAAATAAGTAGATTTCGGTTTGCTCAATCGAAGAAATCAACAAGAGAAAATAAAATGCAAGATTTTGAGTGGGCTTTTGTCCAACTTATGAGGA